TGCTGTTGAAGATGCTCCCTGCTTCATAGCTAATAGGCCAAACAACCAAGGGTTGCCATGGTTGCTATGGCAAACATTTTGTTCCTTCTACTGAACAATAAATATGTTTTTGCAAATGATGAGAGTAGCCTGAAGATATTATTTGCAGTTGCTCTGAAGACATACAGCGCCCATGCTAGCTTTCTGTTTCTGAATTATTCTTTATATTGGGAGTGTAACATACACACAGATAGATACCTGTTTGGCAAGTTAAAGGTGTTAACTAAGGCAGTCCTGACTATAAATGTGGCTGAGGTATCAATGATTATTAACTGCAATTCCCATAAATTCTGCAGTTTAAATTTAAAGGAATTTAATAGAAATTTAAAGAACAATTTTAATTTTAAAGGAAAAATACTCTCATCTTAGATTTTTATAACATCTAGAATTTTTCAATAATTTTCTATTATAATATACTGAATGATTTAGAGGCTATATCTAGTTTATTATTAGACTATCCTAAGCCTCAAATAGGAGATACTGAACTGAAAATCAAGACACCTGGTTCCAGATTCAGCTCTGTTCCTGAGGTTAGATGAGATGAGAAATTCTCAAATGTGTTCAACCATCGGAAACACCTAGAGAGATTGTGAAGACCACAAACACAAATTCCTTGACCTAATCCTTGATAATTTACTCAGGTGCCTAATCTGGGACTCTCTATTTTTAGAAAGGTGCTCATGACATTGTGAGTGGTTTGGGATACACTCAAAAGAGAGCTTCTGAAGTTTCAGTTCTAGTATTTTACGTGATAAAATTTGCATTATTTATTTTTATTGGTCCAAATAAATTAAATCTAATATGCTATTTTTGATTATTAAAAACAAAAATAACAATATCGAATTGCTTCTGGATCTAAAGATGGACACTATTCTTCAATTTGATCCCCAAACCCAACATGGATGGACACTTAAAGTCAGAATTACGATTGCCAAAGAAATCTGGAAATTTTTGAATTCAGAAATATCCATCTTTTGTCTTCCTTGGACAATTCTTTTCACTCCCTGTTAGCCCTTGGCTCCTTCTCATCACCCCTATTCCACACGCCCTTGGAATGTTCATTTCTACATGCCATTAGCTAACAGTTGGTCCTTGCTCAGTGCTGAGCACTGTCCCAAGCACTTGGCCAACATGAACTCATTCATCATCACAGTAGCTCTGCATGATAGATATTATCATCATATCCATTTCAGAGGTGGGAAAACTGAGGCCAGAATTATTAAGCAGTTTTTCTACAATCACACAACTAGTAAGTAACAGAGCAAGGAATGCAAACATAGAAAACCAGGACCTAAAAGCCCAAGCTCTTAACCGCTCATCTATGCAGCCTCTGAACAGCAAGAATAGAGCATTCTCCTCTGATTCCTCCTTCTTCCTCTTATTATTAATTCTTACTAGAAACATAATTCATACTACACATTTTTCAGTATCTTGCTTGATGCTCATAGCAATCAGCAATAGTATTTTTAGTTTTCATTCACTAGAGAATCAAGCAATCTCAAAGCGCCAACTAGTTTATCCAGGTTATATGGTAAGAGACTGCTCTCCAACTCAGTTCTTATGATTTCTCACCCCTGCCCTAGGTATTATCAGGAACCAATGTCTTAAACAAGCAGAAAATGAAAACTCTTATGGAAAACTCTAAGAAAACTTTAAAGAAAAGCAAGAGACCCAGCTCTCCTGGTACTCAGTTCCCTGCTCAGGTCTCTAAATCACCATGCTTCTATCCAACTTTACATGCTAAGGAAAGTTCTAAGCATAAAACAAAATAATTGGTCAAAATTGAAGAAATTCTTTTCTATGTTT